GTCTGACCTTATAGTTGGAGAGAAGGGCAGAAATGACGAGGGGGTCATCATGAGGATAACGGATGCCAGTACAGTTGGCGTCCGTGAAGGTGATGGGTTCTGTCCACTTCTTGGGCTGCTTGGAAGGTCGGTCTACCGTGTCCACTGCTTTGTCCGAAGGCAACTTTGGTGATGACGGACACGTGGCCTTCGGCACCGAGTCAGGGTTTCCTAAATTTCCCCATTTTAAAATATTTAGGTGGCGACTCTGTATCTGGCAAAGCAGTCCATGTTTGGCACTTCTTTTCAAAAAATCTGTTTCTCAAAACGATTTGCCGGATTTGGACTCTTTGGTTCAGATTAAGAACCGTGACACAAATCGAGTCCGAACTGTAGCATGAGGCCCACGCGGGCGCGTCTACAACATACTTCTGCAAAATGACCAAATTACCCATTCATATGCCTACACACATAGTGTCACAACCCAAATCCGTCCCTATAGGTTTAGTGTCGTAACCAGCCAGTAATCTTTGGATTACCAAAGGCCTATTAACAAAATGGCATATAATAAGGGGCTGCGGAAACAAATATAGAAAAATATACAATATTCATAGAGCTGTGTTAACGTATATGAGACAGAAATCTTCAAAACAAACTTATATATATATGTGTGTGTGTGTGTGTGTGTGTGTGTGACGTCATAAATACATTAGTCTTACGTCATCCATTTACACAGATAAAGTCAAAAGAGAACTTTGCCCAATGTATAGATAAGCAAAACAAAACAAAAACATCTATAGCAAGGTTATAAAACTAGACATCTCAAAAGGGAACCTCCCCGGGAGGTACAGTGGCTGGCTAACCTAAAACTCCAGGCAGCAGCTTAAGCTTACATACATAATATAAATAGTGAGCGGAAGCCCAGTAAATAATAACAGAGTAAATTATTTAAATGAATGATATTCATAAAAGAATCAGAAATCAGAGTTCATATCAGAAACAGATTTATATCTTGTTCAAATTACATACAAAAATCAAAGTTCATGCTTCATCATACATGGTACATCCAATAGC